GTGTATCCTGGTGGGAAAGGAGCTCTGGTGATCTTCAAAAGCTATTCTCAGTGAATGGTTTGAGGTTCTCATGGATGTCTCTCCAGGAAAACTTGGCTCCTATGTAGGTGTCTGATGTCTTCAAGGACTCAGGTTCTCTTTTAGGCTAAACTGTCAGGTGTTGGTGGTATTCCCCAGGGGAGCATCTCTGGGTCCACTCAACTTGCTCTGCTGTCTGCCTTCAGATAAGACATCAAACCTAGGCAGGAGTCACAAATGCAGGGGCACTTAATTATCAAACTACGTGTAAAGCATGTAAAGATACACAGGTAGAACTCACTCCTGTGATGGATCTTTATTGCAGCTGCTGAGGGGTCCTCAAAAATTATTATTTCATGATGTACTCAGACCTCAAGATGAGAACTGGAGGATGGGAGTCCTGGAGTAAACCCTGTAAGCAAACCTGCCCTGTGGGTCACACAAAAGCCTGCTAATTAGGATGTCTCCAGGAAGAAGGTGCAGTAGGACCAACCCTTGGGGTTTTGGAATTAACCTACCTTGACGTTAGGGGAAGGTAAAGTTTTGCTTGCTCCCTTTGCTTCTCCACATGAGGCTGGACCTTCCCTGGCTGGAATGTGATCCTCAGGCATGCTGGGAGCCTGCCAGGTTTGGGCAGAGTGCTGAGTCAGACCTCCAGCTGTAGTGGAGAAACCAGGAGAACCTTCTCTGGGATGGTGTGGCCTCTGCAGAGCGTTGTTGCAGATCAGGGGCTTGGATTTGCACAAACCTCTGGACTCCTAAGCAGCAGAAACCCTAAGCTTCCAGTAATTTTCATCTTACTGGAACTATCGGAGTTTCCTTCTGGCTTTAGGGCACTTGAGTCATGGTGGTGCAGACACTGTGCCATCAAAGGCTGCAGGGACTGGTGAGACTGGAACTGGCAGTGTCCTCAAGCTTGGAGATGGAGTGTGCCTCCCAGCCAAATCCTAGCAGTGCAGGATGCTCCGTGCCAAGCCCCTGCACTCCCAGGCTAGGTGTCCTTGTGAAGTGTGCTCCTGGCACATATGTTTTTGGGTTTTTTTTCCAGAATACCTAAATGACTTTCCTCTGTCAAGTTTCCAGTATATGGACTACCTCTTTGTGCTTGGCTGTTTATGTCACATCTAGGGCTAGACTCTGTTTCAGGCATGTGCATCTCCTGTCCCCTCTCCTCAGTCTCCAGGGTGAGGCAAGTCTGGACAATTACTGAGATTTGTGGTGCAAGTTCTACTGTTCTCTGCTGTCAGACAGGGAAGTAAAACTCCAAACTGACTGAGCTTCCCAGAAGCAGGTAGTCTTCCAGCCCAGAGGCTGATGATGGCTTTGTGCTCCTGCCAAGCTCACCTAATGCCAAATTGAGAGTTTCCTCTGGCTATTTGAAGGTTCTGACTCCATATAACAGTGCTGGGAATGGCATCAGGGGACCTGATCAGGGTACTGCCCTTCTTAAGGAAGGCAAGAACCCTCCAGGGTCCGAGTTAAGAAGGAGAGTTGTGCCTTCCAAAAGGGCTTGTAACATGCCTGCTGCAGTGTAATCCAGGCCTGATTGATGTGACACTGGAGGTGTTCAGTGCCATGCTATAAATTCAGTGTATCAGCGTTCAGCCTCTGGCTTGATTGAACTCTCTTTGTGTCAGTAACCTGCTGTGTAAGAAAAAAAAATCAGCATCTGTTTGGCCAGCACAGGCCACAGTGAAGGCACAGCCCTGTGCCCACGTGACAGGCTGTGGTGATGTTGGGATGGTCTGTGCTGGAGATGGGCACCAGTGCAGTGCTGTTGGCAAGATCAGCCTGATGGTGCCTGTGCAGTCCCATGCTGGAGTGCAGAGGGTGCCGTGGTAGCAGACACCAGCACAGCCTTTGGACAGGCAGCAGGCTCTTGGCTGTTGCTCTGAGAGGTGGCAGGCAGCTCTGGGCAGAACAAGGGCAGGAATGTCCTCAAAGGCAGCTGAACCTGAGACACTTCTTTGCCACCTTCCACTGACTCTGATCAGGCAGCTAAGTGTACCCTGCTGTCTGCTATCTTGTGTCCTGGGCATCTTGCATTTTCTTCCTGCTGGGAATGCAAGTGCCAGATGGTTTTCTGTTCTTTCTCCCTCGGTTCAGTTGCAAACTGAAATGTGTGGGATGCAGTTCCTTCCCTCACCTTGTGCTGAGGGATGCAGTCCCTGTCCCCACCTGTGTAACACCTTTGCCACATCTCTGCAGTGCTCCTCCCTGGGAGCTTGGGTACTACTAGAAAGCAGTGACATGGTTAATGAGGCTCCCTCTCTGCTTTGACAAGTTCCCTTGGAGCTCCCTGGGGGAATCTGCTGTCTCCACAGGTGTACCTTCCATCTGTCAGCCAGTTTGTTGAAAGGATTTTGACAGGCAACTTTCGTCCGTAATCCTTAATAGCTTCGAATTTAAAATGTTTATGGCAATGTTAATCTCATGAAACTCCCTGTAGTTTTAATAAAACCTGTCCTCCAGCAAGATTCTTCTGGTGAGAGGAGGTAAATCTACTTCTCTCTGCAGTGATAAATATCTGCAGACATGGCTGTGGGGCAGCTTTATATCACCTGCTTGGTGATACCACTTAAAAACTGGTATCTCTGCTCAGGGAGCACCTTACCAAAAGCAAGATCTCATGGTTGTAAACCTCCACAACCCTTGTCAGGACAGAAAACTGTTGGGATCAGTGAGTCTCGTGTGACTGTCAATGCTGTGGACACTCCATTTACAGATGGAAGGTAAGAGAATAACTCAGCCTGGGATTTCTGGATGTTTCTAGTCCCAAATCCCTCACTCGAAGCAGGACAGCTGAGGTGGGACAAGACCCTGAGTAACCTGATCGAGTTCTGAATATCTCCAAAGATACATAATCCATAAGCTCTGAGGCAGGACACCTTTGTTGTGCTCCTGTGTCCTCCAAGGATGGCTTTAACCTCCCAGAATCTTTAATGTATGTTTGTGCAGGTGTCACTCAGAGGGAAGAATGAAGGGAGTCATTCTAGAAAAATGTAGATCACTAGAGACCTCTGACCTCAGAGCACCAGGCAGGCTGGGGGCAGGGTTTGAGTCACTCGCCACAGCTCTATCGGCACGGTGTGGTTGGGCTGTGTGCAGGGCTGAGCCTCTGACCGGCCCTGCTGTGGGAAGCAGCATATCACTGTGGTCCCAGGGCCGTGTGGTTAAACAGCCACTGCTAGCCTGGCTGGCAGAGCAGGGATGAGGGTTAGTCTCCTGGCAGTAGGAGCTGCTGGATGGCCTGGGCATCACTGCCCTGCTTACCTTGGGCGTGAGCGCTGGGAGCTGCCTTGGCATGCTGCCCCGTGCACCTTGTCCTGTGCCACTGGAAACTGCTGATAGTCACAGGAGATCCTGCCCTCATTAATGTGACACCCATTTTCCTGGTGCCTCGGCCATCTCTTACCCTTGGCACAGAAGCAGTGGTGCTGGTTTGCACAGTAAGACCCTTTTCCATATGGAGAAGTGCTGTCTGCTGTTCCCATGCTGGGCTATAGAGCACCCTGTGGAGCAGCACAGGTCTGCACAGCAGCAGGGGTGAGAGTGGAGACTCTTCTTGCTGCCTCTGCCTTGAGGAGAGCAGCAGAGGAGGGTCCACATCAGAGATCAGAGACTCTGCTTGCTGTGTGGGAAACTGGGGCTGGGTTTTGGAGGAGACATTAGAGTATGGCTGAAGATCTGCAGGAGGAGTGGATGTTGCTGGAATGGGCAGGTCAATAGTGTGAGTCATTCCAGACCACTCAAATGAGGTCCTGGGCTGGGCCATCCTCCACCTTCCAGCAGAATTCCTTACCCTCCTGCTCCCTGCCATAAATGTGGTTATCTGGGCCCAGAGCAAACCTTGTCCTTACAGATCCCTGGGAAAGTGACTCAGTATTTGCAGAAGGCTTCACATCCAAACCATTACCTAATCCTTGTGTGTGCTGTGGGGAGGCTCACAGGTTCCTGCTCCCCTGGCCAGCTTCCCAGGCGGCCGTGCCCAGGGTGTGGATGTGGTGGGGTGGTGTGCCTCTGGGGAGAGAGGACACCAGCCATACACAGGCTCAAAGTGCCACTTGGCAGCTGTAACCACCCCAGCAGAGCAGCTGTGTGTAACTGCCCTGGTATCCTGTCTGCTCCAAGGGCTCAGAGACCCATGGGGCACAGCGTGGGGTCAAGGGAGATGTGAGCCCTTCCCAAGTGACCTCCTGTCCATGGCACAGGGCCGTGTGGCTCTTGGCCAGCTGTCACCAGAGGTGCTGCCCTAGTGGCTCCAGCCAGCGATGGGTTTGAGGAGCTGGAATGGGATTATTGTGATACCAGGTCTGATGCTTCCAAAGTAACTGAGATAGCTCTGTGCTCCTTGTCTCCCTAATCCCTCTGTTGCCGTGGCATGTGAGGCAGGTAGCAGTGACGCTGGGCATTGACACTGTTAACCTCAATGAGGAAAATCCCATGTGGGAAGAACATTCCACCACCATGTGAGCTTTAAAGTCCTTATCTGTGCAGGTGCCTGAGGCAGCTGTAACTGTACTATTGCATAGATTCTTTAGGTGGAAGTGTGCCCTGTGCTCATGGGAAGTGGAAAAGATGAGCACAGTGTAGCTCTGGTGGTGTTAATCCATGTGGTTAGCTCATAACCCCTAACATCTCCCTCTTGCTTTGACTGTCCCTCTCACCTGCATCACAAAGCCCAACTCATCCTGCAGGTGAGAGGTGTCTCTTTCCTAGAAGATTTTTCTCATTCTGGAAAATGCTGATCTCTCAAAGCCCAATCCCTGCTCCTTTTGCTGGAGGACTGGACCATGATGTGATTTCCCAGCTGGCTCCCGCTGGGATGGGAACAGGTGCTGGATGACAGAGCAGGACTTTGCGAGCTAGCTGCCTCCTCCTGCTTCTCACCAGATGCAAGGGAACACCTGAACGTGTGATGGGAACATCAAGTGCCTGGGGCTTAACCCAAGTGTCTCTCTTCTCTCTCCCTCTCCCCGTGCAGGTGACGGAGCTGAATGAGCCTCTGTCCAACGAAGAGAGGAACCTGTTGTCCGTCGCCTACAAAAACGTGGTGGGCGCACGGCGCTCGTCTTGGCGAGTGATTAGCAGCATCGAGCAGAAGACTTCTGCTGATGGGAATGAGAAGAAGATAGAGATGGTCCGTGCCTACCGCGAGAAGATCGAGAAGGAGTTGGAAGCCGTGTGCCAGGATGTGCTGAGCCTGCTGGACAACTACCTGATCAAGAACTGCAGCGAGACGCAGTACGAGAGCAAAGTCTTCTACCTGAAGATGAAAGGGGACTATTACCGCTACCTGGCCGAGGTGGCCACTGGGGAGAAGAGGGCGACCGTGGTGGAATCTTCGGAGAAGGCCTATAGCGAAGCCCATGAGATCAGCAAGGAGCACATGCAGCCCACCCACCCCATCCGGCTCGGGCTGGCGCTTAACTACTCGGTTTTCTACTACGAGATCCAGAACGCGCCGGAGCAGGCCTGCCACCTGGCCAAGACGGCCTTCGACGACGCCATCGCCGAGCTCGACACCCTCAACGAGGACTCCTACAAGGACTCAACGCTCATCATGCAGCTCCTCCGCGACAACCTAACGCTCTGGACGAGCGATCAGCAAGACGACGACGGCGGAGAAGGCAACAACTAGACCCCCCCGATGGACTGGCAGCCGCACGCTGATGCTAACTACTGCAGTCTTTATTTTTTTCCCACGAGTGGGGGGGGGTCAGGGGTGG